GGGGGGAAAAGGGATTTTTTGGGGTTTTTTTGGGGTTTTTTGAGGATTTTTGGTGGTTTTTAGTACGGGGAATACCAGGAGGTGGCGCGGGATCGGCCCCTGCGGAGAAAACGGGGAGAAATTACAGAAAATCGGGAAAAAATGGAAAAAATTCATAAAAAACGTTAAAATTGACCCAAAATTCATGAAAATTGACCCAAAATTAACCCAGAATGGACCCAAATTGACCAAAATTAAGAAAATTGGAAAAAATTGAACCAAAAAATGGTCAAAATTGACCCAAAATGGTCAAAATTCACCCGAAATTGACCCAGAATTGACCAAAATTAAGAAAATTCACCCAGAATTGACCAAAATTAAGAAAATTCACCCAAAATTGACCAAAATTGGCCCAAAATGGTTGAAATTGACTCGAAATTGACCCAGAATGATCAAAATTGACCAAAATGAAGAAAATTCACCCAAATTAGACCCAAATTTACCCAGAATTGGCAAAATTGACCCAAAATTGACCAAAAATGACCCAAAATTGATAAAAATTGACCCAAAATTGTTTAAAATTGACCAAAATTGACTGAAATTGACCAAAATTGGCCCAAAATGGTTGAAATTGACCCAAAATTGACCCAAAATGGACCAAAATTGGTCAAAAGTAAAAGTTGACCCAAAATGGTCAAAATTGACCCAAAAACGCCTGAAAATCCCCAAAATTGTACTAAAAAAATCCAGAAATTCCCAAATCCCAAAAAATTCAAAAAATTGGTCCCAAAAATTCCTGAAATTGACCCAAAACTCACCTGGGAAACGCAAAATTAGCGCTGAAAATGTCGCGAAAAAGAACCCAAAATCGCCTTAAAATCACCCAAAATTCACCCCAAAAAATCCCAAAAAATTCTGAAAATTCCCAAAATCCATCCTCAATCCTAAAAATTTCTAAAATTTCGTAAAAATTTGGGAAAAAATCCCAAAAAAGTCCCGAAAATTGGTCACAAAAACTCAGCTGGAGGATGAAAATCGCGCCTTAAAAACGCGTCAAAAAAAGTTGCGGAAAAATCCAAAAATCACCCAAAAATCAGCCAAAAATGGCCCAAAAAAAATCCCAAAACACCCAAAATTTGCCTCAAATCCTAAAAATACCCAAAAAACTTTAAAAACCTCAAAAAAAATTGGAAAAAATTCTAAAAATCAACCGAAAACTCACCTGGAAAATGTAAAAAATGGCGCAAAAACGGCAAATTTTGCTCTAAAAACTCGCAAAAAAAACCCCAAAAAACCCCCCAAAAAAACCCCAAAACACCTGAAAATCACACAAAATCCATCCCAAATCCTAAAAATTCCCAGAAACCTCAAAAAAAATTAGAAAAAGTCCTAAAAATGAACCGAAAACTCACCTGAAAAACCGAAAACGCGCTCTCAAAACGGTCTCAAAAAAATCCGCGAAAAAAGCCAAAACCGCCCAAAATTCACCCAAAAAAACCCCAAAATTCCCAAAAATCGATCCCAAACGCCAAAATGTCCTAAAATATCCAAAAAATCTCCCAAAAATATCCCCAAAAAATCCCACCTGGAAATGCCTGAAACTCATTTGAGAAACACAAAAAATGGCGCGAAAACGTCAAATTTCGCTCTAAAAACACGCGGAAAAAAACAGGAAAAAACCCAAAAATGACCCAAAATGTGCCAAAATGTTAATTTTTGGGGTCTCACCTGTATCCCCGCCCCCGGGGCCGGGCGTAGCCGCTGTAGAAGCGCGAGTGGGTGGAGCCAAAGCCGCCCTGGCCCCGCCCCCGGAATCGGCCCCGCCTACCCCCAACCACGCCCTCAACCCGCCCAAAATCACCCAAAAATACCCCAAAAAATCCCCAAAAAATCCCAAAATTCCCAAAATTAATCCGAAATCCTAAAAGTTCCTAAAATTCAAAAAAAATTTCCCCAAAAAAATCCTAAATTGGGTCTCAAATTGTCTCCCGAAGAACGAAAATCATGCCTTAAAAACGTGTGAAAAAAAGCCGCGAAAAAATCCTAAAATGACCCAAAAAAAACCCAAAACACCCAAAATTCTTAAAAAACCCCAAAAATTCCCAAAAAAATCCTAGAAATTGGAAAAAAAAATCCCAAAACCAACCGAAAACTCACCTGGAAAAGGCAAAAAATGGCGCAAAAAACGCAAATTTTGGTCTAAAATCGCCCAAAAAAAAGCAAAAAAAATTCTGAAAAAAATCCAAATTTTACCAAAATGGCCCAAATTCACCCCAAATTTGTGTCTCACCTGTATCCCCGCCCCCGGGGCCGGGCGTAGCCGCTGTAGAAGCGCGAGCGGGCGGAGCCAAAGCCGCCCTGGCCCCGCCCCCGGAATCGGCCCCGCCCACCCCTGAACCACGCCCTAAACCCGCCCAAAATCACCCAAAAATTCCCAAAATTCCCCAAAAAATCCATCCCAAATCCTGAATATTCCCAAAATTTCCTAAAAAATTGGGAAAAAATCCCAAAAAGCTCCAAAAATTGGTCCCAAAAATTTGCGGAATCGACCCAAAACTCACCTGGAAAAGGCAAAATTGGTGATAAAAATGCTCAAGAAAAAGAGCCAAAATCGCCTTAAAATCACCCAAAAATGACCCCAAAAAATCCCAAAAATTTTTGAAAATTCCCAAAATCCATCCTCAATCCTAAAAATTTCTAAAATTTCCTACAAAATCCCAAAAAATCCCAAAAAAAATTCCCAAAATCCCATTTGGAACTGTTCAAAAACTCACCTGGAGAAGAAAAATTGTGCCTTAAAAATGCGTCAAAAGAAGTCCCAAAAAAACCCGAAAATGACCCAAAAAAACCTCTAAAAAAACCCAAAATACTCAAAAATTCCTAAAAATTGATCCCAAATCCTAAAAATTAAAAAAAAACTTCCAAAAACTCCCAAAAAAATTCGCGAAACTCACCTGGAAAACGCAAAAAATGGCGCAAAACCCGCGAATTTCGCTCTAAAAACTCGCGGAAAAAACCCCCAAAAAATTGGAAAAAAATACAAATTGACCCAAAATCTCATGAATTAAGCCCAAATTTTTAATTTACCTGTATCCCCGCCCCCGGGGCCGGGCGTAGCCGCTGTAGAAGCGCGAGCGGGCGGAGCCAAAGCCGCCCTGGCCCCGCCCCCGGAATCGGCCCCGGGGGAACCCGCGGTCGGTGCTGCTGATCCCGGGCCGGTTCGTCCTCTTGGGGATCACCTGGAGAGGGGAAAATGGGGTGAAAAATGGGGAATTTGGGAAAATTGGGAAAGAAAAGTGGGGAAAAACGGTGAAAAAATGGTGAAAATCGGTGAAAAAATGACAAAAATAGGAGGAAAAATGAGCAAAATATGAAGAAAAAACGAGGAAAAAAGGGATAAATGAGAAGAAATTTGAGTTAAAAACTTGACTTGGATGAAATTTGGAATTTTGGGGTGAAAAATGGAAAATTTGGGAGAATTGGGGGAGAAATCTTGAAAATTTGGGGAAAATCGGTGAAAATTTGATGAAAATCAGTCAAAATTTGACAAAAATCGGGGAAAATGGGGAAAATCTGGAGGAGAAAGTGAAAAAAATCACTTGGGGATCACCTGGAGGGAAAATTGGGGTGAGAAATGGGGAATTTGGGAAAATTGGGGAAAAAATGGGGAAAATTTTGGGAAAATCAGCGAAAATTTGATGAAAATTGGGGAAAATTTGACCAAAATTGGTTAAAAAAATGGCAAAAATTTTGGGGGAAAATGGGGCAGAAATGGAGAAAAAAATCAGTGGAAAATTTGGGACAATAAAGGAAAAATTTGGAGAAATCAGGAAAAATTTGGGAGAAATTTGGGAAAATTTCAGGAAAAACTTGGAGAAATTTTGGAGAATTTTGGGAAAAAATTAAAGGAAAAATCACAAAGAAATGGCCAAAAATCACCAAAAAAATCGCTAAAAAATGGGGAAAAATTCCTGAAAATCGGGGAAAATTTGGGAAAAATTGCGAATTTGTGGAAAATAGATAAAATTTTGGGAAATTTTTGGGAATTTTTGTGTCCTGACCTTGATCTGTCTCCCTCTGAAGAGCGACTCGTCCAACGCCATCGACGTCCGCACCGATTCCTTATCTGAGAATTCGATGTAGGCAAACCTGAAAAACACAAAATTCGGGATTTTCCACCCAAAATTTGGAATTTTTGACCCAAAATTTGGATTTTTCACCCCAAAATTTGGTTTACTCAACACAAAATTGAGGATTTTCACCCCAAAATTTGGGGGTTTTGCCCCAAAAATTGAGAATTTTCTCTCAAATTCTTGGAGTTTTTTGACCCAAAATTTGGATTTTTCAACCCAAAATTTGGGGATTTGCACCCAAAATTTGGTTTTTTTGACTCAAAATTTGGATTTTTCACCCCCAAAAATGGAAAATGGGTGGGAGGGGTTAATGACGGTTGGGGGGAGGAAATTCGGGGGAAAATTGGGCAAAAATGGGGAAAATTGGGAAAAAATGGGGGGAAAATGGGGGAAAATTTGGAAAAAATTGGGGGAAAATCAGGGAAAAATTGGGGAAAAATTTGGGAAAAATGGGGAAAAATTAAGGAAAAATTGGGGAAAAAGCCCTAAAAAATCAGGGAGAAATCGTTACAAAAATCTCCCAAAAATTGGGGAAAAATTGCTAAAAAGTACAAAAAAAATTCGGAGAAAAATTACTAAAAAATATTTTAAAAAATTACTAAAAAATACCAAAAAATTGAGGAAAAATCACTAAAAAGTCACCCAAAAAATGGCAAAAGAATAAGGCAAAAATCGGTAAAAAATTGGTGAAAAATGGAAAAGAAATCCCCAAAAATCGGGGAAAAATGGGGGAAAATCGGGTATTTTTGTGTCCTAAACCTTAATTATTATAAGCTATAATAAATTAACATAAATTAGCATAAATTAGCATGTTTTACCCTTTGGGGTGGCCGCTGTATTTGTCACACAGGATGGTGACGCGGTTGACGGAGCCGCAGCCGTGGAAATGCGCCTCCAACTCCTCGGCCGTGGCGCCGTAATCCACCTGAAAAAATAATCAAAAATAAATTAAATTAACCCCAAATTATCATAAAAACATCAAATTTCTATTTTAGGAGTTATTGGAAATTTTTTGGGAATTTTTTCCCATTTTTTTCGGGTTTTTTTCGCGATTTTTCCGCTTTTGTTTTCCTGGTTTTTTTCCCTATTTTTCAAAATAATTTTAGGAATTTTAAAGTTTTTTTCCGATTTATTTCTTTCTTGGGACGTTGGAGGATTTTTAGGAATTTTTTGGGAATTCTTTGGCGGGTTTTTGGAGGAATTTTTGGGAATATTTTTGGGCCATATTTGAGCCTTTTTGAGCCATTTTTTTGTTATTTTTGGGGGGATTTTTTTCCAATTTTTCTGGAATTTTTTTCCTAAATCTTTGTGAATTTTTCAGGAATATTTCAGGAATATTTTGAGGAATTTTTGAGTTATTTTTGGGTTATTTTTCCTCACATTTCCCACGTAGATGGAGCGAGCGTCGGCCTCCATTTTCTCCTCCAGGGACATGATTACTGGGCCAGCTGAAAAAATAGAAAAAAATTTTTAAAAAAAATATAAAAATGGGGAATTTTAAACAAAATTTGGGAATTTTTTTACCAATTTTAGGATTTTTCAACCAAATTCAGCCTTTTTTCCCCCAATTTTGGGCCATTTTTTCTCAATTCTGATGAATTCTTCTTCAATTTTGATCCAATTTTTTTTCAATTTTGGGCCATTTTTCTCCATTTTGGGTCAATTTTTTCCTATTGGAGCAATTTTTTTTCCAACTTTGGACCATTTTCCCCAATTTTTTCCACTTTTTTTTCAATTTTTGGCCTTTTTTCCAATTTTTTTTCAATTTTTGCCCTATTTTCCCATTTTTTTTAAAGTTTTTTCAATTTTTCCCAATTTTGGGCCATTTTGAGACATTTTTTTCCAATTTTTGGCTTTTTTCCCATTTTTTTTCCCATTTTGGACCATTTTGAGCCAATTTTGGACCATTTTGAGCCAATTTTGGACCATTTTGAGCCAATTTTTAAAAATTTTTTCCATTTTTTTGCCAATTTTCCATATTTCCTCCTATTTTAACGGGGGTTTTTCTGCTTCTGGGGTTTCTGGGGGTGTTTTTTTCATATTTTAGATTAATTTTGGGTTAATTTTTGGGTTTTTTGCTCACCATTTCCCGGTGGAGGGCTCATATTCATCTGTTTCTCCACCTCATTCTGCAGCTCTTTGAGTTTCTCCGCCTCCTCCTCCATCTCCCTCACCCGGGCCTTGATGGCCTCCAGCTCCTAAAAAAACAAAAAAACCCACCAAAATCTTCAAAATTCACCCCAAAATTTGATTTCAGAGCATCAAAAACCCCCAAAGAGCCCAAAATTCCCCCAAAAAATGGGGTAAAAACGTCAAAATCGCACAAAAAATGGTGAAAATTGGAGTTAAAAATGAAGAAATTCAAAGTTTGAAACCCCAAAATTCATCAAAATCCCAAATTTTACTCAAAATCCCAAAAATTCACCCTAAAATTTGATTTCAGAGCCCCAAAAACCCCCAAAGAGGCCAAAATTCCCCAAAAAAATTGGGGTGGAAACGTCAAAATCCCCAAAAATTCATCCCAAAATCTCAAAAATTCATCCCCAAAATCCAACTCAGGATCCCAAAAAACCCAACTTTCCCATTTTTCCTCAGAAATTCCTAATTGCCCTCAAAAATTCCCTTTTTCCCCTCAGAAATTCCCATTTCTCCCTCAAATCCCATTTTATCCCCAAATTCCCCAACTTTTCGGTCAGAAATTCCCATTTTCCCCTCAGAAATTCCCATTTTCCCCTCAGAAATTCCCATTTTATCCCAACTTTTCCCTTTTCCCCCCTCAAATCCCAACTTTTCCCTCAGAAATCACAACTTTTCCCTCAGAAATTCCCATTTTCCCTCAGAAATTCCCATTTTCCCCCAACTTTTCCCTCAGAAATTCCCATTTACCCGCAGAATTTCCCACTTTCCCTCAGAAATT